CATTCAAAGTAATCAAGTGGGGGAAAATGAGACCATTGAAATAAATGGCCAAAACTCATTGGTAGGTAAGCAAACAAACAAACAAGAGAAAAGGGAAGTTAGAGCCAAGGGGAGACTGCTGAATATTGCAACTCAATACAGGTCAGTGGGTCAATACATTCTACTCAAGACTGGCCAATGAAAAATTCCTTTGGTATTACAGGTCTGTATAAATTACACTGACCAAGAAAGGTAGCAGGTTTGATTCCTGTCATATTTGTCAGGCAGAAAGAGAAGAGTTCAGGTGAGAAAGCTTCAGACATACAGAAGGTGAGCTGATTCTTATGTTTTTGCTCTTGCTGTGAAATTTTGGAATTCTTAGGCTGTTAGTGTACTGTATATTTACTCCCAGTGTACTGCAGTTACTTAACTTTGTTCAGGGGGTTGCTAATCTGTTCTCTGGCTGTTTCAAAGAAAAGCTGACTCTTCAGTCTAATTGAAATAAGTGGACATTGCTGTGGATTCCCTGTGAGTTATGAACCCATGAATTGCTGGTAGTACTCTTACATGATTCAGAAATGATTTTGAAGAAGTGGTCCAAACAGCAAATAAAGGAAAAGGACAATAAACGAAAGAGAAAAGGAGGGAGGGAGGAATCATGTGATGATGGGGATGAGATGGGTCACTCAAATCATGGAAATGCAGGACATCTTCTACCAGTTAACATTCCGACTTCCAACTCCACTGCACTTCCCAGTTTGCTTTCAGCAATGTTGCTAGTGCTACTGAAGCTTAGTGTCCAACTAAATGCTATCGACCATGGCCTACTACCTCTGCTCACTCCACCCTTTCCTGTTTCCATTGAGGTATTTTCCACTTGGTTTTCATCTCTATGCATACATTTGTTCCCTCAGTTCTCTCAGTCAGGCCAACCTTGGCAACTTGAAGACTTGTGGACTTCAATTCCCATAATTCCTTGCTAGCCATGCTGGTTGAGAATTCTGGGAGTTTAAGTCCACAAGTCTTCAAGTTGCCAAGTTTGGAGACCCCTGCCCTAGTGATTGGAATATTTCAGTTGGTTCCAGGAATATTTCAGCCAATTGGGTTGTGGCACTGACAAAATAATCATTTCTGAAATAATGAGGTGAAAACATGGGGTTTCTTCCTGTAGGAAAGCATATTTATGATAGGTTTCAGTACAGTAATGGTCAATTTTGCTTTTCAGTTTCACTGGGTTTCCTGTCCTAGTTTCCTGGTCAGCTGAAGTGATAGGCCATATTCTTGGTCTTTGTCCTCTGTTGGTTGCCTTAGAAACTGTAAAATCTAACAGTCATATTGGCTAATGGCAGCTCATGTCCTGCTACTGATAGAATGATAGAGGTGGGCAATTTAATGATAAGTGAACTACTGTGAAATCAGTGGAAATGCCATTTCGGGGCTCATTAGGTGGAAAGAGGAAAGGCTTCAGCAATAAGCACTTCATAGCAAGGCTCATGTTAAATGTATTGAAACTGGGGGAAAGGAAGAAAATATTGATTTTAAGTATATTTGTTGGGCTTTCCACTCTTACATTTATAATAGCTCCACATATTAGTGTTCCTGAACAATTATTCCATGTGGTTATAGAAGATACTGAATGAAATAGAGACATATGATTTCTTCAAGCAACCACATAACCAATGTGGTCTAGTAGTAAAGCATCCATCTCTCATCTTAACCTACTTGATAGGGCTGTTGTAAGAATTGCATAGTAAACCAGCAGAGTGTCTGGAAATCCTCAGAGCTAAAAATGTGAATTATTCTCTTTTCTGCTTTTTTAAACCACCTATTTAGCCAAGGTTTAGTGGGTTGGATAAGAATTTTTTTTCCTATTTTCTTCTTTGACTTTGGGGGAGTAAGGCAGATTTGCAGGCAGAAAATCTTCAATTTCTATTCTCCTTATACTGTGGTTTGTTTTGTATGCCCTTTTGTGAACATCCACAAATTTTTTTTTTTTTAAATCATGCATCCCTGAAGAAACAATTATGTAGGTAGAATAATGGCACCGTAGGAGTATAATCCTGAGAGATGGGCTGACTTCTTCCATAAAGAAATATGCTCTGTGTTTTTTTCGGTCAGTTATCAAGCCAATACAGACGCTTTTTAATTTTCTTCTTCTATTCTTCCTCTCAGAGAGTATCTGAGAGCAAAGGTGCACTTTGCTGATAGTGTGAACTTAATGAGCTTCAGTGTACCTGAATAAGGCAGCAAGATTGCTGATTATTATTAGAAGAAGGAATATTTTGGTGTCACATTGGTGTGTACAGAACATTACTGAAACTCTAGAGATTTCTTTCACAAAGTCATCTACCATCCCTTTTGTGATCTTACCTTTATAAAAACAGTGCCATAAATATTAATATTGCATGTTTCTTCAGGGCCAGGGTAAACAGATCTGCCTGATCAATGTTACATTAAAAAAAAACCTTGCCATTACCTAAAATAATCAGCTACAATAATTCCTATATGTTATGGCAGCTGTAAGCAATCACACAGCAAGAGACATATATGTTGTTGAAAGATCCAGGTGAATCTATCATGAAGGCTACATCCAGGGGTGGGCTTCAAAAATTTCAGCAATGGGTTCTCTGCCCGGTTGCTGGGTGGGTGTGGCCATGGTGGGCATGGCCTACTCGGCCTCCTGCACCATGGGAGGGGAGTGTTTTCACCTTCTCCAGGCTCTGGAGACCTTCCTCGAGCCTCTGGGAGGGTGAAAACTGCCTCCTCCGGGCTCTGGAGGCCCTCCAGAGGTCAGAAACGGGCCCATTTCCAGTCTTCTGGAATGTCCAGGAGGCCTGGTTTTTCCCCTCCCTGAGCATCTTCACAGGCCCTGCACTTACCTCGCATTCAAAACGGGATGGTGGAGACTCCTGGGAGAAGTGGGGCAAGGTGGGAAGGGTGGGGTGTGGTGGGAGGGGCCAGCCAGGGGTGGGATTTGGAAATTCTCCAAACCAAACCAGCCATAACATTAGCTACGGGTATTCCTGAACCCGGGTGAATCTGTAGCAGCCCGCCCCTGGCTCTGTGTGTATTACCATGCTGACAAGAATGAGGGGCCACCTGAAGTCCCTTCTTATCATGGGCAACCATCTTGGAAATAAATCTCAGTGAATAGAACAGGGAAGGATGGAATTGTGATTATTCTTACTGGGGAGGGTTTTGTTTTTTTTAAAATTTAATTTCTACTTTCACTGCTCAAGGAATTCCCATCAGATTGAAATGTTTGTATTTTATAAAGAAAGGGAATCTGAGACAATTGAATGTTAATGGATGAATATATCTAAGCTTTAAGAAAGGTTCAACCATCATTCACGTAAACATGAATTCTCAAACAATAAATATAAAAAGTGGGGAGGCGAGGCGAAAAGAAAATAAACTGCCTGGTGAATTACCAGCTTGTTCAAAAGCATAGTATCCCTAGCAAAGGGTGACTGTTGACATCAGAAAATATGAGTCATGGGGAGGCAAGTGGAAAGGAGAAATGATTACATTGTGGATTGATGTATGTGGGGAGAATCAGAAATTATTTAACCTTCTGTTCCTCACAACAATTATTTGTTGTCAAGGAACTTATTCAAGTCATGTGTTCCAGTAGTTTGAGTGAGTGTACACTGTGCAAAGTTGTCCCTGCTCACTGACAAGCTGGCCAGAATCACGTGGAAAATCTTCCTGGCTTAATGCAGTCACTACTAATTACTGTGTTATCATCTGGAGACTTTGTGAGCCAGACCAAGCTCTCTATTAAAAGTAAGAGAAGGAAGGAGACGGAAAAAAAACTAAGACAGTGTGCAGTCTGGAAAGAACATTTCTTGCATTCAGCAATAGAGTCTAGGAAAGCTGGCTCCCATTCATTTCTCAACTGCCAGGGACTTAGATGCACCTGGAGAACTCTCTCTTGGTCCACACCTGTCTTCTTGTCCTGTGGTTGGGATGTTTGAAGAAGATGGATACGTCCTGAAACTTGTCATATGGTCAGAGTAGTAAATGTCTTGGGATAATCTATCAAGGATATTCCTTATAAGTAAGCCTCATGTACGCACATACACAAACTCCCAAGGTTAGAGCACTATAGAGAGATTAACCCCCCTGTTTTTTAAACACAGGTCTAACACAGTTTTAGAGAGAGAAAACTCATGTCTGCAAGGAGGCCATATAACAAATATTTCAAGCAATATCAGTGAGGTATTATGTGGGCAAATGCTTCTGTGATAGCAGCCAGGTGTATGTTTGCTCTTACAACCCAAGAATCTGTCCCATTTGTGTTCCAGACTGAGATAAGATGGGGAAACCTGGAGTTTAGTCTACTTAGGGAACCGAGTCAAATGTTAGCATGTTGGTTGAATCAGGCCATCATCTTTTCGCATTGGATAGTTTGTTTTGGCTGTTTGAATTAGTGGTTAAAAACAGAAAATAATAACATTATGGCACTAATGGATATTAAATATTAACACTGTGTGGGTTGGTTAAATAGGGATGCATCTTAACTGCCATTGGATCAAGGATGTGTCTTTTGAATGATCTTAATCTGTTGTTTTATTATCATTTTAAACTGCTATTTTTTTTTAAAAAAAAAAACCCTTTGAATCTCAATAAACCTCAAGGAAAAAAATCAGTTTCAAAAATTTTATTTTTACATTTTATAGCCAGAGAATGGATGAATCCATGTTGTACAGGACCTGTATTCCAAAGATGACTATGAACACAAAACAGTAGGCAAGCTTCTGCCAGCATTGAAACCTAATACAGCAGTGATTCCTGAAGCCTTTTAAATTGAAATTCACAATGAATAATATGGAATCCCTAATTCTTATCCTTATGGAATTTACTTAGCCTAGAATGCAGAAAAATCTTCTTCGTGTAGGTGGTACGGAGGAATTTACCTTTCATATATGGCTGAGTCAGTAACCACCTCACTTTTAACATATCAGTGGGAATATCCTTTCTCTGGAAGGAAGCCAGCCAAGTTCTCCTCACACCAGAAGCTAGGTCTCTTCCGTAATAAATTTCATCTCTGCGTTATGGGAGCCTGAATGCATGCCATTGTCCCGTATACGCTGGCGGAAGAGGAAGGGGAACGCCTTCTTGAAGGATTTGCGGAAACTGTCTCCCATGAAAGCATAAACAATAGGGTTGAGGGAAGAGTTAGCATATGACATGCAGTTAGCCCACGTCTTAATCTTATAGGTTTCATAGTTCGCCTGGAAATGGAGATAGAAGCCCTGAAAAAGCAGGTAGAACTGGATAGGACCCCAGCAAATGGCAAAAAGAAGTACGATCACTACAACCATCTTGGAAATCTTAGCTCGCATGGCAGCTGAGCGCTCAGAGAGATGTTGCACTTGCTGGAAATGAACAGAAAACACACATGAACAGTATTTATGGAGAGTGTGCCAGTTGAACAGCCAGGCTAACTGCCTAGTTTCACAGGGGGGGGGGGGGAAAGATGTACTTGTTTCAGATTCAGGAGGAAGACAATGGCAATTTTAGACAGTCTTTTTAATATTTATTATTTTAATTGTAAGCTGCCCAGAGTCACTTTGCAGAGTGAGATGGGTGGCGTACAAATTGTATAAATACATAATATAAAATATCCCAATTTTTTAGAATATGTACCTTTGGAGAGGTATTTTTCAAAGAAAGGTAAATGATGGAATCTCAGGGAAATGCAAGGGACTCAGCAGGCCTTTTATAGCTATTTTGATACTCTGCACATGCTGGGTATCTCTACCCAGATTTTTGGCACTTTACAAAGTGTTTGGAAGTGGCTTGCTAATATCTTCTTCAAGGGCTGATCCAGACCCACCCATCTGGATTTTGCGATTCTACAGAAGGACTAGGATTCATGGCAGAGATGGGTTCCTACCAGTTCGCACCTATTCGGTAGAACCGGTTCGTCAAATCTACCGAACCGGTTAGAAGAGGTTCCACCAGTGGACCCCGGAAAGCAGGCCACACCTACAGAAGAGGTTCTAAAAAAATTTGAAACCCACCACTGGTATGGGCTGAGAGAGACTGGTCCAAAGTTACCTAGGCA